TACTTTTTATTATCTAAAGATATTATTGTCAGGCAGTTTGGGATGAATGTACATCATTAATCAAATTAGTATTATCCTAATAGTAGCTAATTAGGTTTGGGGTCAGTTATTCTACAATGGTGTTTGCGCTGGAAACTTCTCAATATCTAAATATCTACTATACTGTTTTTGTGCTATACCCAAATACATCAAAATGCTTTTAAATGCTTTTGAATCTCTGTTGGTGCTAATCTATCTCATTGATCTAGGCATTAATCTCGGCTACACTCATATGGACTTTTTGCATAGTCAACATTCACTCATGTTTGAACACAAGTGAATTTGGCAGTATCTAATAAAACTGTACATAAAACTGTAATTAACTTTATCTACTTTTGAAGTAAATGCTTGTGAAATGGTCCCTCTACCATTTGATATTAACACTGGCTACAAATATTCTCTATTTTTGAAAGCATCTATGGTTGATGCATTTATCTATCTCTATTTTTACACTATTGTGACTCCAAAGTTTGGCTGCAGTTTGAGCAAAGGCATATTCCGAGTTTGTGACTTCTGTCACTTTTAATGGCTGTAACATAACTCTGATTCTAATATTATAGCTGATCTATCAAAAGGATAACATTGTAGGGTACTATTTTAACTCTTATGTGGAAATGTGTTTATGAACAACAAAGGAAGTCAAATTCTACTTTTTTACTACTATTTAACATCTACTAAAACGCTACAATACTCATACTTTATCATTTTCAAAGTTTTTAACAGTTGCTCAGTCTCCCAGACTAAAAAAGTCAAATTTTTTGTCTGTCAGATGTCTGAATACTTAACATGTATATTGCATTTGTCACAGTTTCTGGTTGTAGCAATAGCATCGGCAATAGACGTTTTCATTGGCTGGTTCTTGTTCTGCAAATGTCTGTGTCCAATAGATCATCAGATGTCCAGAAGCTAGGGACAAACAAAAACAAAAGAAAGAATCATGAGTATCTCTCTCATTTAGCACTCATCAATGTATGATTTCAAAAATATAAACATCACTCCCCAGTTTTCTCTCTCAGGTCCTCAGGTCCTCAGGGTCCCCTGAGGGTGAGTCTCAGTCGTCATCAGGTCAGGTCATAGAGAGATGTCATCTTGGACATCAGTAGGGTCCAAGCCATGGTTTTGGTCTCTCCAGTTGGACATCAGGATCTCCAGATACAGTCTTTTCAGTTGAAGCACATCAGGTCATTTGCGATGCACTTCTGGTCAATGGTGCAGTGTCTCAGTTCCTGTACACAGCTTGTTATGCAATAGTTACTTTCTATGGTTAAGTCATTTTGATTCTACTTTAACACAATTTCTATTCATGCTGTTGCTTCTGTCCCTCAGACAAAAGCAAGCGCAGTTTACTTCTCTAATTTGTGTTTTTATCAGATCTAATTCTAATCAATGTAATTACTTCACACAGTACAAAATCAACAAATCAAAAGTGTCAGGACAGAGGTCAATTAAGTCCATGACAATATAGAATTCAAATGAACATTTCTGGTCTCAAAAAATACTGATTCAACTAAAGATTCAAGTGATAGACAATTAAAAATATGTGTTTACATTGGAGTAAACTTTTAAAATGCTTTTTTCTCATGTTCTGCTTTTTCATGTATCTATATGTAAATGTGAATGTGTGTGTGTAGATGTATGTGTGTGTGTGTGTGTGTGTATGTGAATTTTGGGGTTGTTTCTCCAGACTCCTCGAACCACCCGCAGGTGTCAAAGGTCACACTGTGGTGATGCAAACCAACTGGACACACTTTCAACTCTCCTCCAGGTCTCTCCCTGACTCTCCACCCATCACGTCTCCAGACACCTCCACTTTGTGGCCCCGGTCTCACTCCCACTTACTTCTGTAGTGGGGGGAGGGGCGTAGAGGTGGCATTGTTGCCCTTTGCTCTTAGCTCTGTGACCTGTGGCTCGGTGGGCTTTGCGCTGTCCAGTGTCCAGCAGTGACCTCTCGTACAGTGAGGCAGAGTCTGAAAAACAATCCTTGACACGGCCAATTTAAAAAAACAATAGATATCAGTATGCGAATGAGATTGTTTTTCTCCCTAAAGTCAAAACAATTTTGGAGCGCTCTGGGTTTTCCCAAGCGCTATGTAAATAAAAGATTACTTATTATCTTACTAATGATGACATTTAAAACCAGAAACTCTCAATATAAAAAACAAGACTCAAATCTCTTAAACCTTCTTAAACTTTAAAATATGTATTATGTACTTTTGCACTGTGTGATTAATTATCTATGCATTTATCTCAGCATATATTTTACTAATTTAAAATAATTGCAGCATTTTTCAAATGAAGTCAGTATGAATTGGAGCACATTTTAGACCAGTCTCCTCTGCTGTGGCATCAGCAGGAGCAACAAGGTCAGGCGTGTAGTCAAAACAAAAACAAAAGTCACCACTTGCATGTGAATTGGGTAGTTTAACTTAATAATATAATACTTTTACAGCCTAATTCCCTCTTTCTTTTTTAGACGAAGTCTACAATCATTAATCACTTTTAACAGATTCTAATTTAAATGTTTGAAAAACGGCTTTTGTAACTAAAATAAAAACATAAAAAAATTCTCACTAACAGCTATGAAATATCAGATACAATAATGGACTCACAAAATAAGCAGCAGATTTAAAAGAATGGAATCTAGAAATATGTTAGGTCTAAAAAGAATTGCACAGCTTTTAGCACTAATATTTGGGTTTCAAAAAACATATAATATTCAAAACTTACTCACTAATGGTGTTTAAAAATGTTTAACTGTGTCTAACACAATGTTCAAATGGCAAATTTAGCAAATTTAACGGAATAACAACTATGAAAAGCCTAAATCCTAAAGCAGTAGCTTTGCTTCAGATTCAGAGCCAGAGCAGCGAAGGAGGGGGCCGTTTCCCTGACAACGGCAGCAGATAGAGATGTGCACACACAGGCAAAAAGATACAGAAGAATAACTTTCAAGATTACTTTGTTAAGCGAATATAACTGATGTTGTTCTTTATACTTTTGTCATCCAAATCTAGAAGTGATCACTTTCCACACTAGTAACAAAAGGCACTCTTTAGTGTTTAACGTTTCCCTTTTTATAATTACTTTTAATTTTACACCATGGTTTCTCTCAAAGGGACTTTAACCCTGAAGCTTCTTCTCAAAGGGACTTTAACCCCGAGGCTTTTCTCAAAGGGACTTTAACCCCGAGACTTTCTCAAAGGGACTTTAACCCCGAGGCTCAAAGGGACTTTAACCCCGAGACTTTCTCAAAGGGACTTTAACCCCGAGGCTCAAAGGGACTTTAACCCCGAGACTTTCTCAAAGGGACTTTAACCCCGAGGCTCAAAGGGACTTTAACCCCGAGACTTTCTCAAAGGGACTTTAACCCCGAGGCTCAAAGGGACTTTAACCCGAGACTTTCTCAAAGGGACTTTAACCCCGAGGCTCAAAGGGACTTTAACCCCGAGACTTCTTCTCAAAATACAATTTAGAGAGTTTGACAGACCCCAAAAACAGAGCAAAATTTAGCTAATATCCAATTATGCAGACTTTACATATAAAAAGGTGTCTGCTTACCTTATTCTTGTCAAACAGGATCCAAGGACTGTCCGAGAGGTCTGCCAACTCTTTTCCGCGTCGGAATCTTCAATTTAAAAAACAAAAGTGACAGAAGCGACAAGAAGCATCCAGGAACAGCTCTTCCAGCCTGCTGGAATCCCCGCTCCCAGACACAGCATGCCGATCTCTCACGCAGAGGAAAAGAAACAGAGCAAAACTCCCCCAAAACAATCCAGAGAATGGCACAAACCGAGCCGCGCATTCTCCACCAAATCTGTTAGGATTTAGCAGAGAGAGACGGATCGTGGTGTGCCAAACTCTGGAAGTTTATTTAAGTTTCTCTCAAGTTCCAATGGTTTACTCTGTTTCTTTCTCTCAGACAGAATAAAGGCAGTACACAGTTTATATAGTCATTGTCACGTCACACATCGAAAGACATACGTGTCACAAAGAGACAGTCACATCATAGTCATAACATGGAGTCCTTGTAGAGTCCTTGTACAGTCCTGCACGTAGGCCATATTGCTATCTAATACTAATACGATACGCACCTGACACAAAGTGCTCCGAGCATATTCTTGCGTGTTTTGAGGGAGTTTCTTGCCTGTTTATCTTCGCAAGCCATAACCTCCGTGGTTGTTCTGACAAAAGCTTAGTCTTCTCACATTCATGAAGTCTAATGATGGGTATACTGTAAAATCCAAGTTTAACGGAACCTCCGGCACGATTTGAACATCCATTGACCCAGCAGGAGATGACCATTTTCAACTTTATCACGACATTAACACGTTTCAGCTTCTTTTTCTATTGTTTTGCCCACAGAATGCCAACACAAATGGCGCCGGGTCGGCAAATCCCCGTATGTAGTGACGTCATGTGGGAACTATGTATTCAATAACTCCCTGTTTCAGGGCGATCTTTTTATTCCACACGAGGTATTATTTTTAATGATCATCATTGTTTTCTCAAATAACAGCAAACGGTGGGACAGCAAAGCAAATGTGCAGTTAATTGTCCATGTAGCTTGAGTTACTTTTATAGTAACTGGAATTATAAGTTACAAGTCACACATTTGTAATGAGTTACACGCGGGTGACTGACTCACTTTAGGCGCCCCTTACAGACAAAACTCAGGGTTTACGATTCGAATTGGGTTCCCATGATGCTTTGGGCATTTGTTGTCATTTGTTGTCAAGTGTTGTCTCTTTCAGACTAGGGACCACATTTTACTCAGTAAACTTAATATTTGGAAATGGCTTTTTTTGTCTGTTGTATAATCAGTATTTTGATGTGGTGTTGCGTTAGCTTAACCTTAGCCGGCTGATCAGGAAGTAAAACAGCTAAGGACGGGAGATAGAGAGCGGGAGAGAATCAAAGTTTCTACACGACTCATTTAAGTTATGCCGTTTGGAAGTTAAAATATGGAAATACAAGAAGAAGAGAAACTGAGTGTGCCGACCGATTTTACGAATGGTGAGTTAAAGAGTTTTGTGTGAGCATAACCCACAATCAACATGTTTCACCCTCCTGTTCTTCAGTCCACAAAAACCTTACCTAAAGCTAACATATCACGTGCATGTCCCATAGTCTGGTGTTTCTTCACAGGTAACGCGCAGAACAACCTTGTGCCACCATCACATTTTGCATCTACTCTTTATTCTGGTGGAGTACACAGATCTACAGGAGGGAAGATGCCAGGAACGACTTCTCCAATTAACTGGACCAAACCTAGTCTAACTTCATTACCCCTCGCTCCAGACCAGAACTACGGCAATTATGGTCTCACCATCTCTCAAACACAACAGGAAATATTCAAGCTGAAGAAGGACAACCAGAAGCTTAAGATGCAACTATCAGAAAAGAGAGATTATAGTGGAAGGTACAAGATGTGGTTACGTCTCTTTTTACATTATTTTTGATAGTGAATTGATATACATTCAGGTCTATAATAATATAACATAGGCACAATTCTAATCTTATGGTTCTATACACTACCGCAATAGGTTTTAAATAAAATGGAACTGAATGTGTTTTAACTGCTAGTTTCCGCTTCATTTTGAGGATATTTACATCCAAATTATGTGCCTGGTGTATGAATTACAGTTTGTTTGGGGATTGAACAGGCCATTGCATAATAGTCAACATCTTTGCCTTGAAATTCTGTATGATTTGGGTAATTATCCATACTGCTTTGTCTGGCATCTGTTTTTCAACCACTAGAAGCTTGCTTCACTTGATAGTGACAGCTCTTACAATCTCATGTACAGAGTTTTAAATGCAAGTTGCACACTACTTCTTTGACATGAGATAATTGTTGATTATTACATCTGGTCATGGAACATTGCAGCCAATATTATCCCATTATATTTTGTCCTTCAAAACTGGAGAGAGACTTACATAAACTGTTTGTAATAGTCAAAGCAAAGGAAGGTTTCTCACCCATCATCTGTACTTCTTAGCAAGTTTTCCCGACGTTTCGTCCTCAACCTAGCGGACTTCTTCAGGGAAGAAGTCCGCTAGGTTGAGGACGCTAGGTTGAGGACCGCTAGGTTGAGGACGAAACGTCGTAAAACTTGCTAAGAAGTACAGATGATGGGTGAGAAACCTTCCTTTGCTTTGACTAATCCCTGTACGACTGAGAGCTTACACAAACTTGTTTGTAATAGTGCACTTCAGATGGTTTGGATGTTCTAGTCTAACCAGTATTTATTGAATGTATGACTCTATGCCAAAATCTGAAGACCCATGGAGAAAAGTGAGTTGTGGGCCTCACAATGGCGTCTGGAGGAGGACAATTACAAGGCTGAAGCTGAGCAGTTGAAAGGGCAGATACAAATATTGAAAGAATCAGCTACTGTCCACAGAGAAGAAATAAGGGATAAAGACATACTTCTTAACAGGTAGGCACTTGGCTGATCACTGTTCAGAATACTTAATCTTATGGTGACAATGATGGCAAGTATCACCCTATATACAGACAGTCACATGAGTTGGAGGTGGCACTCGAGGAGTTGCACAAGACTAAAGCAGAATTGTGCCTCGTCAGAGAGGAGCTGTCTCAAACCCAAGTTCTGAAAGATAAACTATGTTCACAGGTACTGAGCCACATTTCAGAATGTCTTCTCTTGAGCTTATTTTGTTGTTGTTTTTTTCCAGTTTGAGAATTTCAAAATAAATTCAAGTGAGGAAATGCAAAAGTTGAGCAGAGACCTAAAGATTTGCAGGGAAGAGGCAATGGATTTGAGGGTGAAAGCAGACCGATGCAGGCAACATGCAGAGGAAGCCATCAAACAACAATCCCAAAGATTCTCTGAACAACTAGAGGAGTTGAAGAGGAGTCAGCAAGTCGAAGTTTGTTACACTTTAATCCTATAAAGTCCCATGATTTGTTTTCTCAAATAAAATATATTTTCTTTCAGGTACAAACATTGACTTCTTCACATAATGCTGAGCTACAAGAAATCTTGAGGGAAAATCATGAGCTACAAGGCCGACATCAGATCATATCCTCAGAGATGCTGCAGCTTAAAGGCAGACTGACAGAAGAATCATCTGAGAAAGACCAACTTCAACATAATCTATGGTGCCATTATTAATCCTTAGTTTTAGCTTGCTACACAAGCTCCTTGCTTCCCATAAATGCGGCCAGTTTAATTTAAATTGTTCTTGTATTTATTTCTATTATTGATTTTAGTAGTTCTCTATATCTTCTGTAGTCTCCAATCTCTTCTTAAAAACACTGGCACCTGAAGGTTAATAAAGGCTTTCTTTTGTGATGTTTTTGCAGCCAAATGAGACAAACTTTTGAGACACAGTCCGCAACTCTGCATAGCCTCAGAAATTACATTGGGCAGCTCGTCCCAGAAAGTGCAGAGAAGGATCGACTTAATGAAGCGGTTGAGGTGTAGACAACATACTCTTTTACAACACTATTGATTACAATTGGTCTTTTGTACAGTATTTGGCAAAAGCAAAGCCTTAACCATGTTCTTTTAGGGAGAATGTTCACAGTATTAATTAGATATGTGTAATTGTTTCAGCGACTGAACAAAGAGAAAGCAGCTCTCCAGATGACTGCTGAGCTTTTGACAATAAGGCTCAACTCTTTAAATGAGATCCTTTCTCTCCAAGAAGACAAAATAATAAAGAAGGTACTGGTACTTCAATCATTCTGAACTCTCTCTTCTTAAATGTTAAATAATGTATAGTTTTCACTCTAGCTGTATTATTTTTACAAATGTTTTTCTGTAAAGTTTGATTTTCTTACCATTTCTATGGTAACCCTATAAAAATATTGTGCCAGAACTCCACAGATTCAATTGTGAAAAATGGATCTGTGCATTTGTTGCAACTCTGGAGAGAAAAAGTCTTCAAATTGTGTGTTCAACTTCGATCTAAGGACATTGAGTTAAAAGAAGAAAAGAATGAATTACTTTCACGGGTATGGAATCAAGGTTCTCTTATAATATGCTGTCACAACATTTTAAACATTTTTATTATATGTTTTAGGTCAAAGGATTAGAGTGGCAGGTCCAGGAGGAACAACACCGGGTCTGTGTGCTCCAACACAGTCTGGAAGACAAGACTGCTGCACTTGATCTGGAGCGAGTAGAAAAAGAGGTTAGTCCTGAGCCGCTGATGTGATTTACACGGCTGTCTGAAATTTGGATGGTGCCAAATAAATATTGTGTTCCAGTAGAAGGTTATAAACGCGTGTACATTTTTACCTCAGCAGAGGGTGCTGACTGCAAGATTTTTATTCCTCAATGTGGTAGCAGTAGCGGCAGCTGGCTGGAACATTGTTTTGCAGCAAACACATTTATTTAAAAACACTGTTTTTCAGACTTTAAAACAAAACTTGGCACAGAGTCAAAAGGAAAATGTTCAATTACAACTACAGACTGAGAAAGACAAGAAAGACTTAAAGTATCTGTCAGAAGCTATGCACAGGTACAAACACTATTATTATTATTATTATTATTATTATTATTATAAAAGGATGAAAATTTATATTTTTTTGTTACAGATTCAGTTTGATTTTTACAGAAAAGGTATCAATAATTGAAGTTGCACAAGACAAATTGAATGTGGGTTTACAAAGAGTAACATTTGCTAAAAGACAAGTAGAGACCATACAAGGTGAGCTCCTTCATAAGGATCATACTCACAGCTGGAAGCGTCTGCTGATAGTTTGGCATTACAGGACTCATCTTGAGAAGAGCAGCTCTTCAGAAAGTGCAGCAATCGACTAAACAAGCAGAACCATCGACTGACCGGTGAGAAAATCTTGCAATGTCTGAGCTTGTAGCATATCTGTATGTGTTGATACTCTAAGCTAAGTTAAGGAAGTTATGTAATCACTGGATTTACTTATTCAAGCTTTGGCCTATTGCAGCTCTCAGTGTAATTGTGCATGACCCTTTGCCTTGCAAACTCAAAGAAGCCTTTCTTTGGGTTAGCAAGGGTAACTCAACTGAACTTGCCTTTGAGATTACAAAGACAAGTCTTGTGTCATCCAGCCAATATTACCTCTTGAGGATTAAACATTTTAGTCTATACTTGGTTTATTTGCTGAGTGTCTTGTGTGTCTCAGCAGCATCAGAAGCCTGCAGACAGAGTTGCGCTTGGTGTCTGAGGAAAGAGACAAACTCACACTGGAGCTCAAACGAACCCCTGGGCTGATAGAAAAAGTGCTCTCTGATCTCAAAGCACAATGTAACAAGCTAAAGCACAGATGCACTTGATCTGCTGTCAGCATGGTTGCCTCACTGTCTCTGATTGTCTTTAGATGAAAGCAGACTGATGCAGAAGAATCAGGCTCTAGAACAGAGTTTGCAGGACACCCAGGAGGCTGTGTCTGAACGGGACCAGGCCCAGAAGAGGCTGGATCTGATCCAGGACCAGCTGCAGCAAACGGAGGTCAAACTGGAGCACCTCAGCTGTGAGCTCCTCTCTCAGCAGGAGAGTAGCCAGAGCGGTAACTCTTGTCTCTGCATTTTACACCGAATAACCTTCATCAAAGCTCTCCACTGCACAGAAGGATTGCCTCAGGATGAAGAGGCATGCTCAAGAGCACTGGTTTAGATTTAATCCAGCAGGAATATATTGCACACTAGCTATAGTATTTTTACTTTTATGTGTATTTTTCTGCAGTTTTTTATTTTTTATTTCCCCACTGTGAGACGAATAAAGGAATATCTGATCTTATCTTTTTTATTGCACACATTTCATGTCTGATCCAAACTACTATGCATTTATCATTTCCGCATTCAGTCAATATTCTGTGTGTCCTTGAAGATTTATATTTAATTTCTCTGTTCCTGTTTTTCAGCCCTAGAGGAGAGAGTGTCTGAGATTGAGGAATGCTGTGCTGCTAAGTTAAAAGACATGGAGGATCAAGTCAACAGAGCCAGAGCCGAGCACACCAGAGCAGGTAACCCGGTGAAGACGATGGGGAATGGAGACGTGTCCGAGGACCTGATAGCAATCTAATACAAACTCAAATGTTTGCTCTGTATGTATATGATTTAATCATGACTTGTGCTATGTCTGTATTGTCCCTAACAGTAATGACGCTGCGCCACTTTGAAAGACTGGCGGCCAAAAAGAAGGAACATTTGCCAAAAACCCATGCACATACTGAGGTACACGCAACATTTAGATCAGGGCAGATGTAAAATAATAATAATAGTACTGTCAGTTAGACGCATTAATAACAGCGTCAACGCAGACCTTTATTTACCCAGTAAGATTTCAAGATAATTCAAGTTATTCACAATACTTGTGTTTCCATTAAATTACCCTGCATTTTACCCAATTAACTACACCTGCAAAAAAAGTGTTAAAATATCTTGTTATTGGGAAGACCACTGTTTATGTGAAGTTTAAGACATAACTCCAAGGCGATGTGGTATTCTGCATATGATCGTTATCCTACCATGGACATTTCTTGCTGCCTCATCTGTGTCTAACCTGTGAGTGCAGAGGTCAGGAACTTTTTTTAGCTGAGAGAGCCATAAAAAAGTCTCCCGATTAAAAATGTGGGAGTCATAAACATTTTTTGTGTGAATATGTGTGATCTTTAAAAAAAAAATATGATCAACACATTTAGAGTGGAATATTTGTCATATTTTATTCAATAACATTTGTATACAAAAGAAATCACTTTAGTATTATCATTAGTGTTACTACTATTAAGGTCTACAAAGATTTGTCTGTGAGCCAGTCACAATCATCAAAAGAGCCACATCTGGCTCCCGAGCCATAGCTAGTGCCACCTGTTTCTCAAAGTGGCATGAATATAGCATTGTTTGTTTCATTTAGCCTGTGGTTCCTGTAACTGACCTCATAAACCGCTTGGCTGTACAACACAGCGCTGCTGTCAGGGAACAAAGAGAAGCCACTTCGCAGATGCCATCCCTGATGCCAAAAGGTCACCTACCTGGAGATGGTAAGAGCCTCACTACTGCCACCATTTGGCGTTAAGAAACATACAGGATGTCCATCATCAGTATTACATTTAACTGCTGTCCGTTTTGAATCTTGACAGAACGCCTCCTGTGTGTGCTGGAGGAGCTTCAGAGCCTGAGTGCTGCAGTGGTGGACAGCTCTGAGGACTCTGCAGAGGAGGAACATGCCGCCCAGGACAATGATATAAAAGATTAATGTACAGACAGATGTCATGGTGATGCTTCTCAGTGACTCTATTACAATCCACTAAGACACTCTGCGTTTGTATTCTCTTTTAAATGCGTTACGTTCCTTATTGGTTGTAAAATTCATTTTGCAGGTTTATTGTAAAACTGAAAAGTGTTCTATTTTCATTTTGTTTATTTCTTTATTAAACTACTGACTTTTTTTATTCTTATTCTTTGAGTTTTTTAATTTGAGTTGTTCAAATGACACCATGTAGAGGTTGACCACCTCTGGGGAGATGGAGTGGATCCGTTAATATAATAGATCCATGAGTGGATCTCATTGGACCATGTTTCACTGCAGACGCTTATAACACTGCAAGTAAGTTACCTAACTTTTCAACCCTAACTACATAACAAATAATAATGAATCCATGTTACTAGTTCCTGACACAACACTGTTTGGTTCTATCACTAGTTTATTTTGGGCCAGCTAAAATATTCAATTAGCTACTTTATTGCTGCATCTTGTGACATCTCAAATTATAAAACTATTCAACCACCATAGTAGTAGAAAGGCTACATTAATTTTCCAAAACTAAAATGTAATGTGTTTAATGAATACCTAAACACAAGCTCAATGATTCATTTTGCTTACAACTTAAAACCTCTAGAGGGCAATATTGTCAAACGGCAATATTGCCCTCTAGAGAACACTTGGGTGTTCATATACACCCAAGTGGCCCTTTGAAGTAAAAAAAAAATCAGGCATATCATGCTTTGATTTTATTACAATATTGAATTTTCTCTAAGATGTGAATTGATCCAGAATACTCCTCCTCTCCCAGCTCAGGCCAGTTGTATCAACAAAAGTATTGTGTAAGTATTAGTAATCTTTATTTATACAGCGGCTTTCACAGACCAGAGTCACAAAGCGTTTTACAATTGTGGGCGTAGATGGGTGCGAGGTTGCCAACAGGAGGCCCATGCCAGAACTATTGTACATGTTTTAGTGGTAAGGGACTCAAGGGCACCAGGAGGAAACCTACACCGACACGGGGAGAACATACTCCAAACAACAACAGGAACAACACACTCAGAAAGGCACTGTTCCAACCGGGATTCAGGGTCCGGATTCGAATCCAGGACCCTCTTGCTGCGAACCGAGAGTCCTCTCAGCCATCATGACGCCCGTTTTGTCTAATTCAGCTATCATCCACACGGAGCCGGTGAATCGACCCTCTTTAAATTAATCCACAGTGCATACGTTTGCACAGCAGAGACACTGTGCGTTTATATAATGGGTGTATTATATGATCTGGATAGGGTATTATAGTTCCGGAAGCCTCCTGGACGCCTCCCTGGGGAGGTGTTCCGGGCACGTCCCACCGGGAGGAGGCCCCAGGGAAGAGCCAGGACACGCTGGAAGTCCCTCAGCTGGCCTGGGAACGCCTTGGGGTCCCCCGGACGAGCTGGAGGAAGTGTGTGTGGATAGGGAAATCTGGGCGTCTCTGCTTAGACTGCTGCCCAAGAAAATGAATGGATGGGTATTATAGTTTAGGCCATTGTGGTACTGCAGACCAAATCCACATGAGCGACACAGGAATTTTTCCTTTAGACCTCAATGTTCACAAAAATGGCTCGTCCTCAGCTTACTGCGGAACTTACAGCTCTCTCAACAGTCAGATTTTGTGGGGATTTTCATCAATGTGAACATTTTTCATGTCCACCGGTTTTCTTAGGGAAAGCAAAACTTGTCCTGATGACAGTGGCATGCACAGCAAAACCATTACCGCGTCAGTTGTTGCATCTGGGTGCACTACTGCGTTTCTCGCGGAGCAGATCAAACCCAGTGCACAGGGTTAAACATAACACACGTCGGCAGCTTAAAAAACATCACAGGTGCCTGTATGAATGTGATCACTGACCTCTTTTGTCTGTGTGAGATCGTTAAGTGATACATTTCCTCCAGGTCTGGCCTTCAATTGGGTGTTGAAGGCCCAATTGCCTCTGCCTCTGTGGAGACAGGGCAGAGGCAAGAGAAATAGAGGCTGTGTGCAGAAGCAAACTCTTTTACAATTATCATTAGTCTCAGGCATATTCATTTGTTAATAAACATTCATTTACTATTTGTCCTGGTGTGGTTAACCTATATTTTCAGAGAAATCCAATTTGCAGACTTTTTAAAGGCGAGAGGCAAGAATTGCATTTACACACAATGCTGCACATTCCTGAACAAGAATGGAATCTTACAAATTAGGCTTGACCCCAAACCGTTGGGTTCATCCTGCCATTTGATATTTTGTGTTCAGGGAGAAGAAGCTGTAGTTTTCTGGCCTTAGCTCAAAGACTTGGACTGGGATTTGAGTTTGATGTGATGTGGTCAGTCAGAAGTGTGGAGCACCAGTGCAGAGAGCCAGGACAGGAGGCCATGCTACAGGGCTAGAGCGGTGGACACAGGGGCGGCCAGAGCCAAACCATCCAAGTAAGAAGCACTATTTATAGATGCAGCTGATGTGGGCCATTGTTCAAGAGGGAGGAAAATGTCCAATGTAACAGCAGCCGCAGAGTTCTTAAAACCCGTAAATTAAATAAAAACCCTGCAACAGGACAATTTGATGATTAAAGGTCATTGTAGAACCTAATAGCAGCATACATATTTGTGTGCCTATAGCTGTCTTCCCGATGCCAGTCAGATCGCCTGGATTTCAGATGAGAGCGGACTGCTGAAGACGGGAGCGCAGAAGAAAAATGCCTAAACTCAACTTGTCCTTCAGAGACCTCAGAGCCCAAAAGTGTATAAAACTATGTGAATGTGGCTGTTTCTCCCTCACAGACACACACCACCACAACAGTGCTGTTGAAGAGGAGCAATTTTCTAACCTCAATAATCACTTAAATCACCTTGTGAACAGCTTGGGATATCTGTTCTAGCCTGTCTAATAATATTAAAGTATTTATGATATAAAAGTAAAGAACAGTAGAGAGATGAGCATAGCTAAAGGAATATTGCATTATGGGGTATGTAGTGAGGTGCACATGTGATGTGTGGTCCAGTTGGGCTGCAGTTACCATTTTTCATCTGTACCGCTTTGCTCATCTGGTTGAAGTCGGACTGGTCTCACAATATTACAGGGAGTCACATGATCTCAAGGAGATGATGGGTTTCCTGCAGACATCACTCTGCTGCTCCAGCCCCAGTGAACATCCAGGGAAGAGACATTGAGAGAATGGACTCTAACAAATATCTGGGTGTTTATCTGAGCCACAAACTAGACTGACATTAAGTCCTCAGGGATGAGAATTTTTCACGGATCCGCGGAATTTTGAAAAAGGTAGTTTTTGTGACATTTGTAAATCTGTTGAGAAATGTTTCAGGGGGTCGGCGCAAGGCAGGTCTGTTGTGGTGGCACAAGCAGGTCGGACTGACCGGCTGCCAGCATCTTTCGGCGCTATTTTATTTACAACCTTGATTACGGAAATTGTCCTTGTTCTCTTCAATATTTGTGCTAACGCCAAATCATGACGATTTCCAGCAACGTTTGGCGCTAGTATCAAAGTGAGATGACTAGCGCCAGAGAAACAAGCTACATACGGGTTGCATCACTTGGCTTTATTTCAGACTTGTGTTTTGAAAAACACATTGAAAACTAACTTTGTTAGCGAAGTTACATTGCCAATATGACAAACGTTCTAGACCGTGAAGATGAGGACAGAGCTAGGAAATGGATAAATCAAACAAGATGAAAAACTGTTTCCAACCATTGGGCTGACCTTTCAGAGTTTTTTTTTTTTCTTTAAATGTCCCATTCTCATCCCTGCATAATTCAGATACCCTCTTCAAAAAGGATGTCTTCTATCTACTCCTTCTATGACTTGCTGTGCAAGATGGTTGACATCTTGCATGGTTATGCGCCTATTTGTAATCAGCAGCATCAGAGAGAGGGGCAGAAAGAGGCTGGATAGGTCATCAGGAAGTCCATTTTTGTCCTGGGCTATCCCCTGGACACAGTGCAGCATGTGGGGGACAGAAGGTACCTGGAAAAGCTACCATCCATGCTGGACCATGACTGTCACCCCGTGCAGGACACTGTCTGCTCTGGAGAACGGTTTCAGTGACTGATTCACCCTCGGTATATGCTGCAAGACTGTACAAAGAATAATGAAGACTGATGCACACTGCCAACCTGACCTCACATGTCATGCATCTGTGTATTAATTTTAAGATAAGATAAGATAAGATAGACTTTATTGATCTCACACAGGAGAAATTTACATGTCACATTTGGCATGGATAGAATCACTCAGATTCTATCCATGTCCACCGGATGAATCCATCCATCAAGTGTGCAAACATGTTAAAGGCAAAAAATATATATAGTCTGTTCAGGATATATTATGTACAATAAAAAGTGGCAATTTAAGAAAAAGTGGCAATAGATGTGCAGGTTTTTAGTCCTAATGCAAGTGACTTAAAGTTACTTATTGTACAGTCTGACAGCAGTGGGGATAAAGGCCCTGCAGTAGCACTCCTTCTTGCACTGAGGGTGTCTCAGTCTTCCACTGAAGGAGCTCCTCAGCTCCTCAGTCCTGTGCAGTGAGTGGGAGGTGTTGTCCATGATGGAGGTGACTTTGACTAGCACCCTCCTGTCCCTCACCTCCTCCACAGAGTCCAGGGGGCAGCCCAGAGTGGAGCTGGCCCTCCTGATCAGCTTGTTCAGTCTACTCCTGTCCCGCTCTGTGCTGCCCGGGGCCCAGCACACAGCAGCGTAGTATATGGCTGAGGCTACCACAGAGTCATAAAAAGTCCTGAGCAGAGGCCTGCTTACTAAGAAGGACCTCAGCCTCCTCAGAAAGTGGATGCGACTTTGGCCCTTCTTGTACAGGGCGTTAGTGTTATGGGACCAGTCCAGTTTATTGTTAATGTGAACACCCAGGTACTTGAAGCTGTCCACCAGCTCAATGTCCTCCCCCTGGATGTTCAGCGGCGTGTGGGAAAGTGGTTTTCTCCTGAAGTCGATGACCATCTCC